GCAGTAGAAGCCCATCCTAGTTAAAAAACAAAAAAAAAAACAAAAAAACAGCTGGGTGTTGTGGCTCACGCCTGTAATCCCAAATCTTGGGAGTCCAAGGTGGGTGGATCACAAGGTCAGGAGTTCAAGACCAGCCTGGCCAAGATGATGAAACCCTGTCTCTACCAAAAATATAAAAAAATTAGCTGGGTATGGTGGCACGCACCTGTAATCCCAGCTACTTGGGAGGCTGAGGCAGAGAATTACTTAAACCTGGGAGGTGGAGGTTGCAGTGAGCTGAGATCGCGCCATTGCACTCCAGCCTGGGCAATAGAACAAGACTCCATCTAAAAAAAAAAAAAAACTAAAGCTCAGAGACTCATTAACTTGCTCAAGATTACAAAGCAAATAAATAATGACAAAATCCTGATTCAAACCCAGATCTGGCCAACTCCTAAGCTCTTTCCCACTGTATTTGCTTCTTAACTTTAAAGCTGTATTAGAGGCTCACCTGGGAATGAGAGGAGCAGGGCAGTGACCCTTTTTATATATACATATCATATAGATGAGAAAGTTCATCTATATGATGAACCTCTTCATCCCCAAGAGGTTGGAGGAAAAATAAAATTTCAAAAAAATTTTAAGTTTATTCTCAGTGAGTAACAGGTAGATCTTAGATCCCTTAATTACTTTTGAAACTCATGTATACTTATTTGTAAAAAAAAAAAAAGGATTAAATTATAAAATCTCTAGGATTCTTTTCAGCTTTGAGAGTCTTAATTAAAAAAAAAAAATTCTGTGACTTCAAGCTTTTCCATTTTACACAAAAGGAAACAGACTCAGGGTTGATAAATCTCTTATTCAAGTTCATATTGCTGGTTCCTGATAGCAGAGATTTGACCTGATTTTCCAGTTCTGAGCAGTTGTCCTAAGGGATTCATCCTGCATAACAGACTCCATGTCTTCATATGCAGCCAAGAGATTTTAGTTACTTGCTATGTAATGATTCTTTGACACATTTTGAGCAATACACAGTCTGGAACGTGAAAACACTGTATGGCTTATAAAGCAGTCTGTCCTCTATTCCCTCCTTTTTGCTCCCCAGTAGCAGTGAGGTAGGCGAGCTGTCCATCCTATGATGCAAATGAGAAAACAGGCTCAGAGAGGTCATGTGACTAACTTTGTGACTGATGTTGGCTCATTAATGGCAGAGCAGGGACCAGAGCTCAGGTCTTCTGACTCCCACTCTCACTTCATGCTGCCACTCTCAAGTGCATCCAGGCACGAAGCTTCAGAGCTGCCTCCTTGGTAGTCCTCTCAGTGTCAGCTCCTTATAGAGCAGTAAGCTAGGGGTTGCTATGTAGAAACATCGTGTATTTGCATTTTTGTATCTTTTACATTTTGTCTTTTTTTTTTTTTTT